ATCTGGTGGGGTTCGAGGGGTCCCAGGGAGGATCTGGGGGTCCCAGGGAGGATCTGGGGGAGCTCTGGTGTTCCCAGCAGGAGATGTGGGGGGGCCGGGGGGGGTCCCCACCTGCGGATGGTGTCCTTCTCCACCACCTCGTAGGACAGCTCGATGTTCGGGTACCGGTTGCAGAACCGGGCGACGTCGGCGATTTGTGCGTCCGAGAGCTGGAGCAGCCCCGTGCGCTCCTCGTCCTCCATCTCCATGATGTCAAACACGCTCTCCACCCCCTGGGAGGGGAAATGGAGGTGGGAAGGGACCTCTGGAGATCATCCATCCAACCCCTGCCAGAGCAGGGTCACCTCCAGCAGGTCCCACAGGAACACCTCCAGCTGGGGTTGGGATGTCTCCAGAGAAGGAGCCTCCACAGCCTCTCTGGGCAGCCTGGCCCAGGGCTCTGCCACCCTCACAGCCAACAAGCTCCTCCTCAGCTTCAGATGGAACTTCCCACCTTCCAGCTCCTGCCCATGGCCCCTTCTCCTGGCCCTGGACACCCTTGAGCAGAGCCTGGTCCCCCCCTCCTGACACCCCTGGAGATCCTGATCACTCTTCTGTCCTCCTTGAACCAACCACAAGGGTTCCAACCCCACCTTGAAGCTCCTACCTTGTCCGTGCAGCGCTTGATGTGCTCCGAGGTGAAGTGAGGGAGCTGCTTGAGGTAGGAATCCTTGGACCACATGGCCTGGGTCACCATCTGTGCCAGCTCCATGGCAGCCAGAGCAGGGCTGAGCCAACCATTGCTGGAGAGCACGTCCACACAGGCCTGGATCAGCCTGATGGCCTGGGGTGGGGGGACAGGGACAGGTCAGGGGGTGGTGACACAGAGTCATGGAAGCCCAGACTAGTTTAGGTTGGAAGGGACCTTCAAGATCATCCAGATCCAACCCCCTGCATGGGCAGGGACACCTCCCACCAGCCCAGGCTGCTCCAGCCCCATCCAACCTGCCCTTCAACTCCACCAGGGATGAGGCAGCCACAGCCTCGCTAGGTGACACAGAGTCATGGAAGCCCAGACTAGTTTAGGTTGGAAGGGACCTTCAAGATCATCCAGATCCAACCCCCTGCATGGGCAGGGACACCTCCCACCAGCCCAGGCTGCTCCAAGCCCCATCCAACCTGCCCTTCAACACCCCCAGGGATGGGGCAGCCACAGCTTCCCTGCCCAACCTGGGCCAGGCTCTCACCACCCTCACACCAAAGAATTCCCTCCTCATCTCCAACCTCCATCTCCCTCTCCCACTTTTCATCCATCCCCTTCATCCCATCCCTCCCTGCCCTTGTCCCAAGCCCCTCCCCAGCTCCTCTGGACTCTCTCCAGGAGCTCCACGTCCTCCTGATGTTGGGGGCTCCAGAACTGGCCCCAGCCAGTTCTCAGTGGGGAGGACAATCCCCTCCCTGGCCCTGCTGGTGACACAGCCCAGGACACAGTTGGCTCCTGGGCTCCAGCCCACATTGCTGGCCCATGTTGAGCTTCTCATCACCCATCACCCCCAAGTCCTTCTACTCAGGGTTGTTTTCCAGCCATTCTCCACCCAACCTGTGGCTTGGGACTGCCCTGACCCAGGGGGCCACCTGAGGTCCAGCAGATGCCCCCAAGCCCAGGGTACCTTGCTGAGGATCTCCTCGGTGTCCGACTGCAGCTCCGCGCTCAGCTGCATGCGGGACAGGTGAGCCTGGAGCAGCAGGTTGGTCTTGACATGGGGATCGTTGAACTTGGGGTTGGTCAGTTTGTGGGGAACTTTTTGGGACAGCTAAGAGGAGAAAGGACAAAGCCATCAGGTGGATTCCTTCTCCTGAGCTGCAGGAACTCAGGTCCAGCCCCAGGTCCCGTCACCGCTGACCTGGCGCAGCAGGTTGTCCTCGTGGTGCCTGATGGGGATGTTCTCATACTCAGCAGCGTTGGAGATGATTTCAATCAACCCTCTCACCTTGGTCTTGGCATTGAGGGACATGCTGAAGAGCTCTGGGGAAGTTGGGGAGGTAGAGGAGGGGTGAGGGAACAGCAGAGAGCAGGAAACCTGAGCTTTTATGGAATCCCAGACTGGTTTGGCTGGGAAGGAGCCTGAAGATCATCCAGATCCAACCCCCCCCATGGGCAGGGACACCTCCCACCAGCCCAGGCTGCTCCAAGCCCCATCCAACCTACTCTTCAACACCCCCAGGGATGGGGCAGCCACAGCTTCCCTGGGCAACCTGGGCCAGGCTCTCACCACCCTCACACCAAAGAATTCCCTCCTCATCTCCAACCTCCAGCTCCCTCTCCCAGTTTTCATCCCTCCCTGCCCTTGTCCTCTCCCTTCCTGCCCTTGTACCAAAGTCCCTCTCCAAGGCACCTTCTGCTCAGCACCCACCCCACCCCAGCCCTCACCAATGGTGGTGTAGTTGATGTAGTAGTAGGCAGCAATCATCCCCAGGTTCAGAGGAGCCACGTCCATCTCATCCTCAATGCTGATGCACTTGGACTGTTCCAGGTCACTCAGGGTCTGCTCCACCAGCTCAGAGAGATGATCTGAGAGGTGCCTGTGGGACACACCTGTGGGGACATCAGTGGGGCTCAGGAATTCCCCCAGGATGGAGAAAAACTGCTCTGGTGAGAGGACATCCCATGGGTTCCTGATGTCCTCCAACCCCATCCTCACCTTGGAGGTTGTAGTAGTTGGGGTTTTGGGTCATCCTGCGGTAGAGGAAGGTCCAGGTGAGATAATCCACAGCATCCTGCTTGTTCTCAATGGTCTTGGTGACAATCTCAGCGTTGAAGTGGTCATGCATGCAGTGGTCCAGGTGGGACTCCACTGGGAGGGGCTCATAGAGGAACTTCTTGAAGAAATCCTGTGGTGGGGCAGGAGGAAATCAAATCAACAACCACCAAGGAAGGTGACACATCAGCCTGTCCAAAGGTGGGACAAGAAACCCAGGCTGAACAGTCCCAGCTCCCTCAGCTTTTCCTCAGCAGGGAGATGCTCCAACCATCTTTGTTGCCTCCCCCTGGACCCTCTCCAGCAGTTCCCTGTCTCTCTTGAACTGGAGAGCCCACAACTGGTCCCAGTTCTCCAGATGGGGCATCCTCACCAGAGCAGAGGGCAGGATGACCTCTCTTGATCTCCTGGCCACACTCTTCCTCATGCACCCCAGGATTCCATTGGCCTTCTTGGGCACATTCCTGGCTCATGGGTCATTTATTCTCTACCAGGACTCCAGATCCTTCTCCCCAGAGCTTCTCTGCAGCAGGTCCACCCCTCACCTACACTGATCCATGGGTTGTTCCTCCCCAGGTACAGGACCCTCCACTGGCCCTTGTTGACCCTCATGATGTTCCTCTGCCCAGCTCTCCAGCCTGCCCAGGTCACAGTTGGTTTCTGGGCTCCAGCATAAGGTGCTGACCCACATCTATCTCAAAGGTTCTGACAGGTTGGAAGTTCTCCCAGTTCCTCACCCACCTTCTTGGACCCCTGGCACATGATGACACAACGTCCCTCGTCGTCCTGCAACGGGCGGTTGGCGTGACCCACCATCTGCAGGACATCATAGATGGGGTAATCCACATACCTGGGACACAGAGAGAGGAGTCAAAGAAGATCCATGGAAGGTTCTCCAACCATTCCCAGCACCTGGGATGAGTCCCTGGGGGATGAGGACTCGTTTCCAGGGTGGCCAGTGCTGGAGGAGGTGACACTCACGCGTGGATCTTGCCGTTGTAGTACTGGGTGTCCATGATGATCACCAGGTGGGCAGAGATGTTCATGCCCCAGCAGAGGCTGCGAGAGGCCACCATCACCTGCACTGCACCTGGGGGGAGCAGAGGGACAGGGGTCAACCCTCCTCTGGGTCACCAAAACATGGGTGGGGGTACAAGATCTGGGGGTCTGGGCAGAGAACACGGTGACATTTAAGGTGGCAGGAGCAGGGAGAAGGAGAAGTGACACGAGGTTTGGGCAAGTTGTCATCTCCAGTGCAAAGCTCCAGGGTGTCCCCAAGCCCACCCTGCTCACCAGAGCTGAAGAGCTGCTCCACCACACGCCGTTCCATGGGGGTCAGCCCCTCGTGCAGGTAGCCCACCCCATTGACCAGGGTCTCCTTCAGGGTGTTGTCGTTCAGCTTGTCCAGGTAGGGCACCAGGTCCTTCTCAGCACAGTGTAGGAACCTGCCATGGAGAGGGGGAGTGAAGACACCCCCTCCATTGTGTCACAGCCTGAAGGACATCTCATGACACCATTTCCAAACACTACATGTCCCTCAGCCTGGTGAAAAAGCCCAAGAACCTGCCCTGGCCTCTGCTGGAGGAGGTCACAGGCTGCAGACCCTCAGTTTGCAGAGGACACCAAGTTGGGCGTTGAGGTTCTACAGAGAGAGCTGGAGAGGCTGGATCCATGGGTTGAGGTTCTACAGAGGGAGCTGGAGAGGCTGGATCCATGGGTTGAGGTTCTACAGAGGGAGCTGGAGAGGCTGGATCCATGGGTTGAGGTTCTACAGAGGGACCTGGACAGGCTGGAACCATGGGTTGAGGTTCTACAGAGGGACCTGGACAGGCTGGAACCATGGGTCAAAGGCAATGGCATGAGTTTCAACAGGCCCAATGTTGGGTCCTGCAGTTGGGTCACACCAACCCCAGCAGCATTCCAGGCTTGGGGAGCAGTGGCTGAAGAGCTGAGAGGGACCTGGGGGGACCTGATTGACAAGGAGCTGAACAGGAGCCAGTGTGTGCCCAGGTGGCCAAGAAAGCCACCGGCATCCTGGCCTGCATCAGGAATGGTGTGATCAGCAGGATCAAGCAGATGATCCTGCCTTGGTGAGGCTGCACCTTGAGCACTTGGGTGAGTTTTGGGCACCACAGGGTGAGGAGGACATGGAGGTGCTGGAGAGGGTGCAGAGAAGGGCAATGAAGCTGCTGAGGAGTTTGGAGAACAGGTCCTATGGGGAGAAGCTGAGGGAGCTGGGGCTGCTCAGCCTGAGGAAGAGGAGGCTGAGGGGAGACCTCATTGTGAGGTGGGTGTTGTTCTCCCCAATGACCAGATGGGAGAAGAGGAAATGGGGTCAAGTTACACCAGGGGAGGTTCAGATGGGACCATCAGGAACCAATTCCTCATGAGTGGTGAGGCCCTGGGACAGGGGAGGTGGTGGAGGCACCACCCCTGAAGGGGTTCAAAGCACGGGTGGACATGGTGCTTGGTAGATCCACGGCAGACATGGATCTTGGAAGTCCCCTTGCAACTGAAACCATTCTGTGCTTTAGTGGTGAGGAGGGGATGGTTGGACTTGTTGATCCTGGAGGTCTTTCTCCAACCTGGCTGAGCCCGGGGCTCTACCTGTGGCGCTGGACGTCGGAGGCGCAGGTGGTGAGGATGTTGATGGCCGTCAAGCGCGTCTGCTTGCGGGAGGGGACAAAGACAATGACAGGCTTCTTGGGGGAGTGCTTCATGATGGCGTGGTAGACAGGCTTGGCCATGGAGAGGAGACGAGTCTGGGTGTGGCTGATGTTGAAGCCCTGCAGGTAGAAGAGGAACAGGAGGTGACACCTGCCCGGTAAACCCGGCGTGTAAAGAGGGAGCTGGAGAGGCTGGATCCATGGGTTGAGGTTCTACAGAGGGACCTGGACAGGCTGGAACCATGGGTTGAGGTTCTACAGAGGGACCTGGACAGGCTGGAACCATGGGTCAAAGGCAATGGCATGAGTTTCAACAGGCCCAATGTTGGGTCCTGCAGTTGGGTCACACCAACCCCAGCAGCATTCCAGGCTTGGGGAGCAGTGGCTGAAGAGCTGAGAGGGACCTGGGGGGACCTGATTGACAAGGAGCTGAACAGGAGCCAGTGTGTGCCCAGGTGGCCAAGAAAGCCACCGGCATCCTGGCCTGCATCAGGAATGGTGTGATCAGCAGGATCAAGCAGATGATCCTGCCTTGGTGAGGCTGCACCTTGAGCACTTGGGTGAGTTTTGGGTACCACAGGGTGAGGAGGACATGGAGGTGCTGGAGAGGGTGCAGAGAGGGCAATGAAGCTGCTGAGGAGTTTGGAGAACAGGTCCTATGGGGAGAAGCTGAGGGAGCTGGGGCTGCTCAGCCTGAGGAAGAGGAGGCTGAGGGGAGACCTCATTGTGAGGTGGGTGTTGTTCTCCCCAATGACCAGATGGGAGAAGAGGAAATGGGGTCAAGTTACACCAGGGGAGGTTCAGATGGGACCATCAGGAACCAATTCCTCATGAGTGGTGAGGCCCTGGGACAGGGGAGGTGGTGGAGGCACCACCCCTGAAGGGGTTCAAAGCACGGGTGGACATGGTGCTTGGTAGATCCACGGCAGACATGGATCTTGGAAGTCCCCTTGCAACTGAAACCATTCTGTGCTTTAGTGGTGAGGAGGGGATGGTTGGACTTGTTGATCCTGGAGGTCTTTCTCCAACCTGGCTGAGCCCGGGGCTCTACCTGTGGCGCTGGACGTCGGAGGCGCAGGTGGTGAGGATGTTGATGGCCGTCAAGCGCGTCTGCTTGCGGGAGGGGACAAAGACAATGACAGGCTTCTTGGGGGAGTGCTTCATGATGGCGTGGTAGACAGGCTTGGCCATGGAGAGGAGACGAGTCTGGGTGTGGCTGATGTTGAAGCCCTGCAGGTAGAAGAGGAACAGGAGGTGACACCTGCCCGGTAAACCCGGCGCGAAGGGAAACGATGGGTGAGGAGGTTGGGCCAAACCTGAATGTGAAGCTCCAAGGGGACGGGACGGACGTTGGGGTGGAAGTTGAAGGTGGACGTGGCACTGCAGCCCAACCAGTGAGCCACATCCTTGGCGTTGGACAGGGAGGAGCTGAGGGCCACGATCCGGATGGGTCGCTCGATCTGGGAGGAGATGTAGCGCATCCGGGAGCAGATGACCTCCAGCACGGGCTGTGGGGGGAGACGACACCTTGCAGTTGGACCAGGAAGGGCCACCTCAGCTCAAACACACGTGGAGACCTCAGGGAATAAAATTCCTGAGCTTCCCAAAGGATCCAGCCCATCCTGCAGCTCAGGGAAAGTCCCAGCAGGAAAAGCTGAGCTTAGACCAGGTCTGGAGAAGAGAAGGCTCCAGGGAGACCTTAGAGCAGCTTCCAGTGCCTGAAGGGGCTCCAGGAAAGCTGGGGAGGGACTTGGGACAAGGGCAGGGAGGGATGGGATGAGGAGGATGGATGAAAACTGGGAGAAGGATCATTTAGATGAGATCTGAGGAGGAAATTCTTCACTGTGAGGGTGGTGAGAGCCTGGCCCAGGTTGCCCAGGGAAGCTGTGGCTGCCCCATCCCTGGGGGTGTTGAAGGGCAGGTTGGATGGGGCTTGGAGCAGCCTGGGCTGGTGGGAGGTGTCCCTGCCCATGCAGGGGGGTGGATCTAAATGATCTTGAAGGTCCCTTCCAACCCATTCCATGGTTCTATGACTAGGAGGTTCCACCACCAAGAAGGACCTTCCTCCCCTTACCCCATTTTCTCCCCCAATGAGATGAACTTCATCCACGATGAAGAGGTTGACATTCTGGACATTCTTGCGTTGTTTCCAGCGTCGGGAGAGGATGTCCCACTTCTCAGGGGTGCTGATGATGATGTTCCCTTTGCCCAAGAGCTTCAGGTCTGTGCTGGTCTCTCCCGTCAACAAAACCACCTTCTTATTGAGACGTTCCTGGAACTTCTCGTACCAGTCCATGAAAACCTACCCCAAAAAAATACAAAGGAGGATGTTGGTGACCTCCAATGAGGACAAATCCCACCAAATCCCTGGAGATACACACACCACCAACCAGCAGTGGTGGCTTTTTGATCCCTCAGAGAGGGAGAATTAAGCAGAAGACTCCAGACTCTTGAATCATTAAGGTCGGAAATGAAGTTTAAGATCATCAAGTCCAACATGGGACATCCTGAGGAAGGTGATGGTGAAGAAGGGATGAGGAAAAGCAAAGTAGAGGATGAAGAAGTAAAGACAAGGTGGGATGAGATGTCTCTAACATGCCAGGATTACCTGCTCTGCCAGGGCCTCCATGGGGGTGATGTAGACACAACGTCCTTCTGAGTTCTGGAGCAACATCCTCAGGATGGCAAATTCTGCACAGATGGTCTTTCCACTTCCAGTGGGGGCACCCACAAAGACGTTGTCATCACTGTTGTAAACTGTGTTAAACACTGGGTGGGGAGATGGAAGAGACAGGAGAAAGCAGGTCAAGAAACCACCCATGGATTTGCTGGATGGGACTCGGACAACCTGGTCTAGTGAGAAGGTGTCCCCACCCATGGGTTGGGCTAGATGGTCTTTAAGGTCCCTTCCAACCCAAAGAAGTGGTCGAATGGTTTCTAGGAAGGTCTAAGGATCCACACCTTGAGTCTGGATGGGGTTGAAGAAGGGGAACTTGTCTTGGTAGAGGCTCTCGAAGGCGCTGTTCCTCAGGGCCGAGACAGGCAGAGGCTGCAGGTCCAGGAGCTCAGTGGGAGGAGGATACTTCTCAGGTAGGATCAGGTGGCGGAAGGACACGGGCAGTTGGGTCTCACAGGCTGCCAGAACCACCACCACAAAACCAAAATGGCCTTGGTTGCCAAAAGGAACTCCAAGAGCTTCTCCCAGTTCCCATCACCCAGGGCTGCCCGGCCACGAGGCTCTCGGAAGCCTCTTCCCCAGCACTGAACCAGGAGAGGGGACAAACTGCCCCCAAAACTGCCCTCTGACCCCAAACTGCCCCCTCACACACTGAACTAACCCTTCAGACCCCAAAGTGCTCCCAGAACACCCCCTCAGACCCCAAACTGCCCCCAAAACTGCCCCCTCACACACTGAACTAACACTTCAGACCCCAAAGTGCTCCCAGAACACCCCGTCAGACCCCAAACTGCTCTCTGACCCCAAACTTCCCCCTCGAACATTGAACTAACCCCTCAGACCCCAAACTGCCCCCAAAACTGCCCTCTCCCCAAACTCCTCCCTCAGACCCCAAACTGCTCCTTTCTAACCCCAGACTCCTCCCTCAACCCCAAAAGTGCCCCTTTCTGACCCCAAACTGTCCCTTTCTGACCCCAAACTGTCCCCTTCTGACCCCCAAACTCCTCCCATTCTGACCCCAAATTGCCCCTTTCTAACCCCAAACTGCCCCCTCAGCTCCCAAACTGCCCCTTTCTGACCCCAAACTCCTCCCTCAGACCCCAAACTGCTCCTTTCTAACCCCAGACTCCTCCCTCAACCCCAAAAGTGTCCCTTTCTGACCCCAAACTGCCCCCTTCTGACCCCCAAACTCCTCCCATTCTGACCCCAAATTGCCCCTTTGTAACCCCAAACTGCCCCCTCAGCTCCCAAACTGCCCCTTTCTG